GATTCGTATGTATTTGAGATGTTATTTACTCATTTTTTTCTGTTTACTCCGTGACTTAGTGAAGTTTTCTGACTATAATCCTAGACTTGGTCAAAAACCTGGAAGCACATTTGCTGGTATTCTGGGGCCATCCCCTAAGTGGACAGATACTGAGAGTAAGGAGAGTAGTGACAACAGGCTGTCATCTGTCAATTCTGCCCCACCACAATCACTTAAATCACATGTTAAATCACATGTTTCTCTGAGACTTTTTTCCCTGTATAGTTTTCTATAGAGTTTAAGAAAGATGGGCCCTCACATCACATATGGAAAGAAGAAACGGAACATTTAATATTTACTGAAACCTGCAGGCAGACATGTGGATGCAGCTGGGGGGTGGAGATTACCTGATGAGGTGCACAGGCAGCTGAGAGCATCAGCACCCACACCCCAGCTTCCTAAAGGTCAGAGGACCAAGTGGTCAAGCAGCCCACACCTTCAGAGGCAGATGCACACTGGCATTGGCGTGTCCCCCATTTCTAGGCCCCCCCTTCCTAACATGCCCCAGGATTTGTACGATTGTGTTTTAGACACCAATTCTCTTGATTAAAACAATTGTTGTTTCAGTGCATCAAAAGTAGTTTCTCTTTTGCTAGAGAAGAAATACCAAAAGAACATATGTCAGACTTTTTGTACATAGCAATTTCTGTTCTTAATGAAATCAAGACACATAATGTTGCATCTCTATTGCTGGGGCTGAGGAGAAAGACAGAGTTAGAGCCCAGAGGAGCCTCACTGACCACTTAAACCGAAAGTATCCAGTGCCTTTAGACCATGCTGCTGCCTCTGAGAAATGCCCACAGCAGATGGAGGAAGCAGGAGGAGCAGCTGGGGCCGCCCAGCCTCACACACCTGCTTCCCTGGGGTGGTTTATGCTATGACTTGTAACACTGTGGGAGGGGAACTGTTATGTTGCTGACAGAAATAATCTGCAACATCTTCAGCCTGTAGGCCACTGATGGTCAGAGAATAATCTGTCCCTGACCCACTGCCACTGAACCTCGATGGGACCCCAGTTTCTAAATTAGATGTATAATAGATCAGGAGCTTAGGAGATTTCCCTGGTTTCTGCTGATACCAGTTTAAATATTTGCTAATGCCCTGACTGGCCTGGCAACTGATGGTGACTGTGTCTCCTAGTGATGCAGACAGGGAGGATGGTGACTGGGTCATCTGGATGTCACAACTGGCACCTGAGATGGGAAAAAGAAAAACCAAATATATACACAGTTAATCAATTCTTAGGAGGACTTCCCTAAAGACCCAGGCAGGACTGACCACACTCAGTAAATCCCTGGTGTTCTCCCTCCTTACCTGGGAGCCAGAGCAGCAGGAGCCCCAAGAGCTGAGCAGGGGCCCTCATGTTCATGCTGTGTCCTGACAGGGGACTGACTTCTGCACTGGGTATGACCAGCCTGATAATAAGTCTCCAAGGGAGGGGGCTGTGCCCTGGGAACATGCAAATCAGTAGAGTTGGGAGGCTGTGCACAGCTGCAGGGCTGGCTCCTCTCAGTGACTCAGAAGAGGCTCAGTGTCCCCAGGTGTCCCAGGGTAGACCTGGGAAGCATATATTTGCCAGTAGAAAATGTCTTTGTGCCTGGAGAATGTTTTGCTGAAAAGGACATTTGGGCGTACCTATTGTTAAAAGTTGAAGTGAATGAGAACTAAAAATGTAATCATGTATTTCCAGTTAGATTGGGAGTATTTAGGTGAACACCCTTATTTATAAAGAATTATAACAAAGACTTATATGTAGGGCTATCAGGTAGTCAAGACATTGTTAAATGTTTTTAAACAAGAATCTTGGGACCCCACACTGCAGCTCCTGCTGACCATCCCAGCTGAGTCTTCTGGTCAACATCCTCTTTATCCTCACTACACGGTCTCCCTTAATGATTATTTTTCCACAGGCAACCAATGAGACCACTAATTCCCAAGTGTATAAGGAGGGTAGATTCAAGTTTTCTAAACACACCCCTGCCCTCCTGGGTTCATTAGGGGTGATTTGACCTCAGGTTCATTTACCCAGGAACCGCATGAACCCTGAGTCACTGAAGCCTTAGAGCCCAGCTGGATGCACCACTTCTCCAGGAGCTTGGAGTGTTATCAGGGCACAGCCTTAAGAGCCAGGCAGGTGTTCAATCAACTCTGTGATTGTTCCTGAGAACACATCACAGCCTCTACCTGGGTTCATATCTCCACCCAATCCCAGCAGCATCAACAAATCAACAGTAAAGCCACAGATCTGGGTCCTGAGCCCACAGCTGACCTCTGCCATGTGCTTCACGTTCTGGCAAAGACTCAATCTTCTTTTTCTCTGGGAAATACTTGGATTGCATGGTGATATGGTTTGGATGTTTGGACCTTCCAAACAACATGTTGAAATTTATTTTATTAATTTACTTCAGTTTTATTTCTGTATTTATTTATTTTTATTTTTTATCTCAGATTAATATGAAGGTACAAATGATTAAGTCACATTGTTTGCATTTCTAAGGTAAAGTTCAAGTTGTAGTTGAGCCCCTCCCCCAGGGGTGTGCTCCTACCCTCCACTGTGCACCTGAGGAGAGAGCTCAGCTCCTTCCCTCTCCCCACTCCCTCCTTTCCCTTTTCCCTCATTTTAACATACTTGTCTTTTACCCTCATGTGGTGGTGTAGTTCTTTTTCTATTGTTTTCATATCAGTATTAAGTACATGGGACTCTTCCTTTTTAGTTCTTCTGACATTTTCAAAGAAGAATGTGCTTCAACTCATCCAGGTAAATACAAAAGATTTAAATACCATGGAATACTCTTCAGCCATAAATAACATGGGGACTTCACTGGTTGAAATTTGATCCCTGGCGCTGGAGATCAGCTGGGGGCTGGGAGGTGTTTGGGTCATGACACCAGATCCCTCTTAAAAGGCTTGGTGCCCTCCATGAAATAATGAGTCAGTTCTCACTTCATTAGTTCACAAGAGAGCTGGTTGTGTTTAACAGGCTGGCACTGGCTCCTCCCTCTCTCCCTCCTTCTCTCAACTCAAGATAAGCCTGCTGCCCCTTCACCTTCTACCTGGATTGGAGCTCTCTGCAGCCCTCAACAGAGGTGGATGCTGCTGCCAAACTCTTTGTTCAGTCTTCAGGCCCATGAGCCAAATAAACCTCTTCCATTTATGAATCAGCCAGCCTCAAATATTTCCCTTATAGCAACATAAAATGTTCTAACGGACATGTTTCTTGCACTTATCAAACTTCTGTGTAATATGGTGTGCTGTGCTCTCTAATTCATCCAGTGGTTCTTGGTTGTATTTTATAATGCAGCTTTGGAGTTCAAAAAGCACCATTTTGTTAAATTATGCTTCAACCTGTTTGAATAAGATTGTTCAAAAGCTTTTGGTTCTAGGTATTTATTATTTGATTTACCAAAGCCTGCCTATTAGTGAAGAAAAGAAGAACCTGAAATCGTTTTCTTAGCTATTCCCCTGAGATTAGGGATATAAAATCCTGTGCTTTCCCTAGTCCTGGAGAAGAATGTGTACTAAAAACAAGTGTGTGTGTGTGGGGGGGGGAGAATGGCCAAGGGAAGACAGGCAGTGTCCGAACATCACCAAACATTATCCCTCTGAAGGTACAGTAGCTGAGCTAACAAACAACCAACAACTGTACCCGTATTATGTTGTCATGAATGGGCCTCAGTTTTGTGACTGCTATGATGGGTGGTAATAGTAGTAATAACAAGGATAGTAAGTGTAATAGAACCAGAGTCTGTCCGCTACTCATATCCATGACACACTAAGCCCCTTCTGGGGTCCGTGTTGTGCATGGGCCCCCTCTTGTGGTCACGTATGCAAGGATCCTGAGAGTATTTCCATTGATTTGACATTGCCATTTCCAGGGAGATGCACAAATTCTTTCTAGTACATTTTCTTCTTCCCTTTCTTTCCTTCTCTCTCTCTCGCTTCTTTCCTTCTTTCTTTTCAGACAGAGTCTCATTATGTCGCCCTCAGTAGAGTGCTGTGGCATCACAGCTCACAGCACAACAATCTCACATTCTTGGGCTTAAGGAACTCTCTGGCCTCAGCCTCCCAAGAAGGTGCCACTACAGTGGCCTGGCACAACGGCTGGCTATTTTTTTTATTGTTGTTGCAGTTGTCGTTGTTTATCTGGCTCAGGCCTGGTGTGAACCCACCAGCCTGGGTTTATGTGGCCGGCACCATAACCACTGACCTACAGGTGCCACCACTCTAGCACATTTTTCAAACATATTTTTTTCTGATACATATAACAAATCATAATTGGATATTGACTACATGGCAAGAGTGGCACATTGGACAGTGATGTGTAGTTTGCAGGAATGGTCTATGAGCTGGGATTTCCCCTCCATGTCTGGGATCCAAGTCCTGAGGAGACCACACCATACTTAGCTGCACAGCATCCTGACAGCAAGGGAATGACTGTAGAGTCCTCAGACTTGGGGTCCAGGGGAATTAGACATTCTGGGCTTGTATTGTTTGTCTATTATCCTGTCTTAGTTATAACATGTGGGCAGCTTCCCTCTTGGTTGTCCACTATCATCCCTCAGCTCCCCTGGGCTTTCCCCAGAGGACAGGGCTGGGGGCTGCACAGGGAAACTGGGTTTAAGTCTTCATTTACAGTTAGATTTAAACATCACTCCATTTAGCACTCTCACCAGGGGGGCTGGGCCTGCAGATGATTATGGAGGGAGGATCATCCTCTTCTGTCTTCCCTAAACCAAGCACATCCTGGGTCTTTGTGGGGGTTTAAATTCATATTTACAGAAAGGTTAAATTCTTGCTTTAAATCTGAATCTGGACTGAAAATAGAGTATGAAGGCTGAGAGCAGTTTCTCTATTGGCTGCTTTTCTCCCTGAGCCCACCTGTGTTAATTAGGGCCTGGCAAGGACCCCTCATGTACAGCCCCTTGTCACGCAGCTCTGTCCCCTCTGCCCCAGCTCTCAAGGTCTCTCTCTGTCCAGCAGCTCCCTCATTTTGGAGTCTCAAAATGAATGAGTGCTCCACCTTCTCTTAGCCTGAGGTCAGTACTCTGTTATTTGTGCAATAATAATTCAGACTTTATTAACTTTATCCATAGCCTGGCCAAAATCATTCAAGAGATGATTTTGAGCACTGGCTCAGGGCTCACCTAGATTCTCTCCAAACCCTGAGTTTCTCTTGGAAAGATAAAACACTATTTCACTGTTAGCCACTTTCCCACAAGTATGTATTGAGCCCTGGCTGTGAGTCAGGCACCGAGCCAGATGTTAAGTTTAAATATGACAAAAACGGAAGTGGGAAGGGAGGGCAAGATAGAAAAAGGGAGAGATTGATTTTAAAACCTGTGTAATTCCTAGGACAGACCCTGATGCCTCCAGGTCCATTTATTCAGAAGTGCAGCAGAGGGAGCCAGCAGGGCCACAGTCCTCCCCTGGACAGAAGTAGCCCTGGAGCCTCACTTCCTGTCAGGCCACAGACACCCCGTGTTCTAAGCTCAGGAGGAAAATCCTGTGGGGCCATCACCTGGGAAGAAGAATGGAAATGTGCTCACTCACATCCTCACACCCTGTGCCAAGCAGAGCCGCTAACGCAAGTTCAATATTCACAGTTGGTTTGCCTTTGGTCTTGAAAATAGTCAAAATAGTCAATCCTGAAGTTACTTAATTTGTCTTTTCTTTCCTAATCCATTATCCTTGGTTATTTTATTCATTCACAGGTAGTTTTTTGTATTCTATCCAGATTTCTCCTATCTTTGTCAATTTTATCAATTTACTTTTTATAGAATATGTGTGATAGTAATATTGTCCCCATAAGACACAAATATACAGCAGCAGAAAATGTGGGGGCAGAAAAGTGACACATGTGACACACGTCAATCTTCTCTCTCCCACTCCCATCGCCTTCCCTCTACCACTGTCTCCCAAATCCCCCTCCCAGGGAACTCCTGTCTGTCCTCCCTGTTTCTCTTTGTTTCCTTTCTGAATCTCCCCTGCTTCCTTACAAGGACAATAATAACACATTTTAATTTTCCTTTTATTTTGCTGTTTTGTCAGTTCATGAAGATCTTCCTTTTTGTACAGCTGAGAGCTACACTATTGTGTAGAGGTGACAAGTTTTTTCAACTTCAGTTTGAACAAATAACCTTTTGTTATTTTTTCAATTTCAGATCACTACAAAGTTCCATATAGTTAGGTTACAATGTGTGCACTTGTCAGTCCTTGTAGTTGTGTCCCACACCAGGAGGTGTGCCATGTACCCAACATTGTGTCCATTAAGAGGGAGCACACCAATTCTATCCCTCCTCTCTTCTCCCTCCCCCATCTCCCCCTAAATTGAATTGAATTGAATTTTTCTCCAATGTGGGAATGCACTAGATCGTGTCC